ACAAAAATAAGCATATTTCAAAATATCTAGGTAGGGGCTGGGAATTTAGCTCAGCAGCACAGTGCCTGCCTGGAAAGCTCAAGGTCATGAGTTTGATTCCCGGTACTGGAAAAAAAAAATCTAGATAGTAAATTTTAAATGTCTTTCTATAAAATAAAAAGTATATAGGTGATGTTTATGTCAATTACTTTGATATCATTTTTCTACATTATATGTGTGTCAAAATATCACCTTGTACCTTATAAACATATGTAACTATGATTTGTCAACTAAAAATAGTCACTCTGAAATCTAATTTTTTTTTACATTTTGAGTTTCGGCCAACCTGACCCAGGCGGGGATGCAAGAGAGGCACAGGGGAAGACTTTCCATTCCCTCACATGCAGAATTCTGGAGCCCTTCCATTATCTTCTCGTTGCCCCTGGATTTCCACTGCTGTGACAAAGGACCTGAGATAACTTAAAAAGAAGAAAAGGGAGCCAGGCCTGGTGGCTCACATCTGTCATCCCAGCGCTTGGGAGGCTGAGGCAGGAGGATCACCATGAGTTTAAGGCCAGCCTGAACTACACAGTGAGACCCTGTCTCCAAAACAAAACAAAAGAAAGAAAAAAGTATTAACAGTTGTTGAATCTAGGAGGGGAATCTATACAGGAACACTGTGTAATTCTTTCAACTTTTCCATATGCTTAAGATTTTCCAGGGCTGGGGATATAGCTCAGTGGCATAAGTACCTGCCTGACAAGTTCAAGGTCATAAGTTCGATCCCCGGTACCGCCAAAAAAAAAGATTTTCCATAATAAAAACTTAGGAAAAAAGAAAGGACTTGGAAATTTCCTATAAAAAAATAAATAAACATTTGGTCATGTTAAGAAGAACGACTTGAATGTCTTTCCTAAGTTGCAGGCAACATGTGAAACTTAATTCCAGAAGCCCCCGACGTTTTCTGTACGTCGTTGTCCATCCCAGTGGCTCTCGGAGCTTGGTGGGAAGACCACACCCAGGCGTCTAACCCACCCTACAGTCTGGCAAAGCTCAGACAGAGGTTCTGCTCCTCCCCTAGGCAGCTGTGGATCGGCCAGGACTTAACATCCGGGTCTTGCCTGTGCCGTGGGACTCTGTTTGCAAATCCGTAAGGAGCGAGAACTCCTGGGACAGGCGGCAACAACCGCGTTTGCCAGAGATTCACACGCGATGCTTGGAGGTCACACTCCTAAGTGCTGGGTCCAGCCCTGGCACCCTGCGCAGGCCGAGACTGACTGCAAAGCTGTCTGGACAACTGGAGGCAGTCACCTCAGTCCAGGGGCTTAGCAGCTTCGTAAGGCGGTGCTGGGTTGGAAAAGTAGTTTTACTTTGTTGTTGTTTTGGTTTGGTTTTTGTTTTGTTTTGCTTTTGGAGACAGGGTCTCACTGTGTACCCCAGGCTGGCCTGGAACTTATTTTTATTTTTGGGTTTTTTTGAGACAGGGTTTCACTATGCAGTTCAAGCTGGCCTTGAGCTCACTTTGTAACCCAGGCTGGTCTCGAACTCACAATAATCCTCCTGCCTCAGCCTCGAGAGTGCTGGGATTACAGGCGTGTGCCACCATGCCCTGCTGGCCTGGAATTAGAGGTGACCCTCCTGATTCAGCCTCCTGAGTGCTGGGAGGACAGGGGTGGACCACCACACCCTGCAGCTTGGGAGACAGAGGGTCTCCTATCAAATTTACAAAGCTAATCCCTTCTTTGTAGAATGAGCTCCCATCTGCACAAACTTTAAAGCGAATATATAAAATGTGATTTCCTAAGCATGAACTTTCTCTGGGCGATAGAAATGCTACCATAACCTACAGCGGCAAAGCAGAAAAGAGAGGAACTGACCTCTGCAGAGTCTGAAGGCTCTCAGTGCAAACAACGCAACAGGGGAAGAAACCTCGACCAAGCTGGTCCCCTCTACCAGTACAGTGAGCAACTTCGCACCGACCCCAGTGACCCCGATGGCACAGACGGGCCCCCTGGGGCTGAGTCCATCCCAGCCGGGTCGCAGACACCAGGGACACACTGCATCCCGGCCACTATGACAGCACCCCGGGTGACAGCCTGAGCCGCTCCTGACCAGGCTCGGATTCCCAGTGGGAAAGAAAATGCCGCCCCCCACCAAAAAAAAAAAAAAAAACAAGAAGCAGATTTTCCAGCCGAGAGTGAGAGCGCAAATAAAGAAGTATCTTGGGCTCTGCGGGCCAAGAGCTCACACAGACAATGTCACTCAGGCAAGGACATGCAGAGCGACCTTGCTCACCCTGCCCTCGTGCCTTGGCGAGGCTGGGGCAGGGATGAACAGGTTGTCAAGCCCGTTGCCACCCGCTGGGGACACTGTTGGAAGAGGCACAGGGTGTGAGGGGCAGCCCTGCAAGACCAGTGGGGGCAGCCTCTCTCTGCCCCTGTGACCTCCAAGTGTGTGACCTGTGTCCTCCTCACCTGTGGTCATCTTGAGGTGGATGCCCGGCTGCAAGCCAGGTCCCCACTCGGCCTGACTCCTGAGCCGAGGTGTCCCGGCTGGCTGCCTGGCACTTGTCAACAGCAGAGTCTGCGATGTGTAAATGCCAACCAGCGTTGACAGGTGCTGCGAACAGAGTGGGACAGGCCAGCCGGGTATGGCGGCACACACCCGTCAGGCCAGCACTCTGGGAGGCTGAGGCAGGAGGATCGCAAGTTCAAGCCCACCTTGGGCAGCTTAGCAACTTAGTGAGACCCTGTCTCAAAATTTAAAAAAACATTCATTATATTCTGGGGATCTAGCTCAGTGCAAAAATCCTGGGTTCAACCCTCAGTACTGAAAAAGGAGAAAAAGAAAAGAAAGAAGAATAAAACATAAATAAAATAGAACAGAGAGGCCAGCTCCCGCAGCAGGTGCCAGGCCTGTGCCTAGAGTTCGCTGCTCCTCGCTTTAAAGGACAAAGAAATACAAAATAGTTTGCTCTGGAGGATGCGCTGGCTTTTAGCAACACCACACAGTCTCTCCCACTCTTCCCTTCAGAAAGGCCTGCTCCTCTGCCCCCGGCCGTGGCTGGACTTAAGTGACTGATATAATGAACTGCATGGGTGACACTGGTAGCGTGTGACCCTGCACTAGCACCCAAAGGTGGTGCTCTCTGTCCTCTCCGTTCACCCTGAAGGAAGTCACAGGGACATTCAAGAAGCCGCGATAAGAGAAAGGGTAGTAACATAAGAGGCTCTTCATAAAGGTCAGTGCTAACCCACTGGGATCCCAGTGTGCCCACCCAGGGAACACGCCACCCGCCATGGCCATCCGGAAGTCACTCCCTTGGCTGGGGCCCCTCTGCCACCTGCTATGCGGGGGACACCCATTCACACTGCAGTCGCCACTGAGGCCTGGAGGGCGCGCACGTCTCACGCTGGCATGTCACACCCTCATCCTAACTGCTCGCCGTGTCCCACTCACTTCACTTGAGAGTGACAGTCGTGGAAAGAGGTCACACCGCCGCCTGGCTCAAATCCCTCTGAGACCTCCCTGTGGGACAAGCATGGAGCCCAGCCTCTCCGAGCCCCCCACGCCCCAAAATCGCTGTGATCTCCCCTCCCTTTGCCTCTCCCCTCACCCCAACGCCCCTGATCCTGTCTCTACCAATTGTCTGCTTCGAAGCTCCTGAAGCAAGTTATATCATTTGGTTGGGTTTTTTTTTAATGTCAGGTGTGCTTTAAAAATACAGTGAGTACTTAAGTTTTTAAAAGTTATTGCAGCAGAAGACACATTGCTGTGGGTCCCCCTCAAACCCTCCCCTCGCCTCAAAAATACTTATCCCGTTGTTCTTGCCACTTTCTGCAGCAGCTCCGACTCCTGAGGGTCTTTATGAGCTGTGATCAAACGCAGGGAAGGCCGCTGCCAAGCGCCGTCCAACAGAAAGGCCGCCCGCGAAAACACGACGCTGTCCTCGCCCACCTCATTCATCCCGTCTGGCACCAGGCAACGTCTGGCTCTTCCCAAAGTCAACACGACCAGGAAAGGTCAGTGTTTTGAATCCATTTAGCACATCAAGGCATCCAGGACAGCACAGCTAAAGACCCTCAGGAAAGAGGCCTGCAGGGTGGCTGCAGGAAGTGACAGGAGCCGTGGGACGAGTGGGTGCAAAGGTTTGGAGCGGAGGGGACGGAATGTGTCTTCAGTGCGTTTTTAACGTAAAGAGTCGCCATACTGTTCCACTGTACATCTTGTTTTCTCTGTGGTCCAAGCCACAGAGGAGCCAGAGTTTACTGCCACAAGCAGCCACCCAGGAGGCCCAGACTTGTGCGCAGTGCCAGCCCCGTGGAGAGGGTGCTGTGGCAGTCTGGAGGAGCTGGGGCCCACAGCGGCAGAGGACACCCAGGCTCGGCCTCCAAAACCCAGCTGGCACACGCCACCAGGGCTGCATCCATCGCCCCTTCCTGGGACCGAGCAGAAGGGGACCATCCGCGCGAGAGCTCTGTCTCAGCCCAGCTTCCGACCTGACAACAGGGGCTGGACGTGGTGCCGCAGTGCCAGACAGCAGGACGCGCCGTGCCGCAAAGCATGGGTGAGCAGTTGGGGTCACCAGCGGGGCTGGGCTGACATTCCCTCGCCTGCCTCTGGACGCGGTCCTAGCAGGATCTGTCACGGTGCCGTCTGCCCTCCAGAGCCAGAGGGCATGACTGGAAAAGCATGTCCCCTGGCGCAGAGCCCTGGTCTCACTCTGAAGTCATACGCCGGGGGAGGGAATGCTTTCAGACCCCTAGTCCTGTCCCTTCTTGTCAGTGACAGCTGGACTGGACAGCTTGGAGACCCCTGTGGGGAGGACTGGGGGACCCGCAGGGCCCCCAAAGCCCACCATCTGTTGGGGCTCCCTCCGCGAGGCTAGGAGGGACAGGACAGGGGATAGAGGGCAGGGAGACCAAGCAGGTGCCCAGGCACAGCCCCCAGCGTCCCTCCTCCCTCCCTAGGTCTACCCCACGCGTCCTGGAGGCGGAGGAGACTGCTGTCAACACCTGGCTGGGTCCAAACAGGGACTGCGGGGGACACCAGGCGCCAAGGGGTGACTCACAAATTCCCTTCTAGCTTCCCCGAGCCGCTGCCCAGCGCGGGCTTTATCGCGGGAACACGGGGTCCCGCGGCTCGGGGATGAATCGTGAGTCACAGTTCATTTGTGGCTCGGGGGCAGCGCGGCCCTGGGAACATCCGGTTACCTGGCTGGTAATCTGCTAAACTGGAAGGTCAAGCAGGGGAGGCCTGGGGAGCAGGGGTTGGGAGGGCGGGTCCGCCTCAGACTCTCCTGGCCCTGGCCCCAGGCCGCGTGGATACAATGGGGCTGGGCAGCACAGAGCTTCGGCTGGGCGGTGGGCTGGGACCTTCGCGTCTGGGGCTTAAAACCGAGGCGGGGAGGTCCATTATTCAAAGAAAAGAAATTAAGGCCAGCCAGGTGCTTGTGCCATCATCCCAGTACTCACGGAGGCTGAGGCAGGAGGATCGCAAGTCTGAGCCCAGTCTGTGCAAATTAGCAAGACTCTGCCTCAAAATAAAGACGTAAAGGCCAAGTGTCTGGGGAAATCAGGGGGTCCGTGAACTTCGGGGGCTTTTCCAAGAACGCGGGCTCAGGCTCCTGCGGGGCAGACGAGTCAGGGGTATCTCCTCTGGGCCTCCCATCACCCCACCCGCCCCTCGCACCCCGTGTCTGCGGGAAGCCCCGCCCCTCCCGCCGTGCTCCGAACCAGCTTGGGACGGGGTTCCGGCCGGCGCAGAGTCCACGCCAGCCCCACCCCCGGCCCCGGCCCCGGCGCCGACGTCCCGCGTCCCTTACCTCCCCGGCCGCTGCCGACCCGGTCCGGAGCGGTCTACACCGCGCAGCGACCCCGCGGAAGGCGCCGCGGCTCGGCTGGGCTCATCGGCTATATTTGTAAGCGGAGAACTCGATCCGCGGGACAGGCGCGGGGCACCGTCCACGCCTCCCGCGTGACTCTGCCCAGGACAACACGGGGGGGCGCGGTGCGCTCCCAGCCACCCAGGGTCGCTGGTCCCATCCGTCTGCAAACCGGGGGCACCGGGCAGGGGCGGAACAGAGAAAGGAAAAGGCTGGAGACCAAGCGAGAAACCGGATTAGAAAACCAAGACAGCACGCCTTTACTCCCAGCACTCAGGAAGCCGAGGCAGGAGGATCGCCGAGACTTCAGAGCCAGCCTGAACTACACAGGGAGACCCTGACTCAAAAAATAAAAATAAAAAATAAAAAATAAAAAAACCATAGGACACAGGGAATAGGAAGGCTTCCCAGTGTTTGAAGCAACGTGTACAAGGTCTTGATTTCATTTTTAAATTTTTTTTTTCGTTTTTTTTTTGTGGCACCGGGGATCGAACTGAGGACCTTGCGCTTGCCAGGTAGGCGCTTGTGCCACTGAGTTATATCCCCAGACCCTTGATTTCATTTTCATACTTTTAAATTTCCTATAATGTATGAGTTTAGAGTGTTTTGTTTCGCTTTGTGGAGCTGGGGCTTGAGCACAGGGCCTTCGAGCTAAGCCACAGCCTCCAGCCCCTTTCCTTTATTTTTTGAGACAGGGTCTAGCCACGTCACTAAATTACCCAGCCTGAGCTTGAACTTTTCCCAACCTCCTGCCTCAGCCTCCCAGAGAGCTGGGATCACAGGCCTGCGCCACCACACCTGTAGCTTGTTTTAGAGAGAGCGCTCAACGGGCAGCCGCCTTGCTGGCAGCCCTCACTGCCGCGATGTGACATGTGACCGCAGCAGATGTGACAATAAGACACCGATCGGTAATGCAGCTTCCTGCTGTTCCCAGGCCCAACCCCTTCCGTCACAGGGCGATAGCTCTCGCATAACCTTCACCTTTGCCGGAAACTAGAAGCACCTTCTATGCCATGCGTACTCAGAAGGGTGTCCCAATTGTGCAGTTGTTTCCTGTAGGGTCTATTAGTGCCTATTAGTTATCCAGAGGTACGTTGTTAGTAACCGGTGGGTTTAATTTTGGGGACCAAACACTTGATCATTTCCACAGCGCAGTCACCCACTTTGCCTGCTCCCTCCCCGCACCCCCTTCCTTCCCTCTAACCCTTTCCCTTCTATTTTATGTTGCTTTACTTTTCTAAGGACTGTCTCCTACAAAAACATTTTCTGTTTATTGATATATGTAAGTAATTTTATTTCTATTTATTTAAGATTGAGAATATTTATTAATTTTTGCTGTTTTGTTTTGTTTTGTTTGCTTATTTTTTCCGGTATCAGGAATCGAACTCACAACCTTGCGCTTGCCAGGCAGGCACTGTGCTACTGAGCAAAACCCCCAGCCCTGACATTTATTAATTGTTGACATCTACAACTAAATTATCATTATTATTATTATTTGATTTTTTTTTTTTTTTTGAGACAGGGTCTCACTATGTAGTTCAGGTTGGTCTTGAGCTCACTTTGTAGCCCAGGCTGGCCTCAAACTCACAGCGATCCTCCTGCCTCAGCCTGCCAAGTGCTGGGATTACAGGTGTGCATGTACACCATGCCCCGCTTAAATTATTTTAAATTGTATACTAAGTTGTTAGCAGTGCTCAAATGTCTTTGTTACTGTATTAAATCTTACCCAGATAAATGCTTTTTTATTACTTTGGGTAGGATCTTAGGATTCTTTCTCTTTTTCATTTTTTATCTTGTTAGTACACGCTTGTAGCACGTGCAGTGTAAGTCATCTTGGGGAGTGGGTCTGTGCGTGTAATACAGCGTGGTTCTTTTTTTAACGCCTTTCCCCTACCCTCCCTCCTCCTCTAAGTCCCTTCCCATTTTCCTTGTTGATATTATTAGTAACTGGTGTTCGTTTCCCTTTTGTTTTGTTTGTTTTTCCTGATATTCTGAACCCAAGAACCTAAATGGACCAGGCCGATTCACAACTTAAGTACTATTTCAATTTGCAAGAGACCCAACCATTCCAAAGCTGAACTGTCCTTAGGGCGAAAAGTTTTCCCAGGAATTGCTTTAAATACCACAGGACCTTTGTGACACAGCCGACACGTGGGACTCCATAAACCCCAGGCCCCGGACTACAACGTGCCCCCCAAAAAGATGGAGAAATTTATCCAATCAAAATTACATTTCAGAAAAAGAAAACATTTTTTGTTATAAGTATGCCTCGAATATGGCAAGGTGACATCTCTGCTGGAAATGTATTTGCCAGGAATCAGAAATTTAGATGGAACCAAAGTCCTCAGTTTTGCCTGGGGAACGTGCACCCAGCCGGCCAGGGTCTCCCTACACACAAGAGAGGGTCTGAGGTCACCAGGCTCAGGGGCAGCGCTGCCTTCCTGGACCATGGTGAGGGATCTGCAGTTAGCACAGGTGGCTCAGGGGGACCTAGGACCGGCTCCTCAGTGGCTGGCACGGCCTGGGGTGCCCTTCTGCCTAGGGTGGGGATTCCTGATTCACAGAGTCTAGGCTGGGGTCCAGGGATCCGCATTTTCTCATGTGCCTACCTGAGCAGACACAAAATAGGACCCGGTGTGGTGGCCCACACCTGTAATCCCAGCTACCTGGGAGGCTGAAGCAGGAGGATCACAAGTTTGAGCCTAGCCTGAGCAACTTAGTGAGACCCTGTCTCAAAATAAAAGTAAAATAAAAGAGGAATTGGGGCCTGGGGATGTACTGAGCTCAATTCTCAGTACCAATAAATAAATTACAAAAATGCAACATGTGCTTATAGGCCAGGAAGGCGCTGTCCCGCTCTAGAAGGCTCTCTGCGTACAGATCCCCGGGCTGGGCCTCTCTGAAACACTGTCCAGTTTCTGAGCTCCGAAACACTGTCCAGCTTCTGAGCTCCCAGGCAGGGGCCCAAGGGCTCGACCCTTCGGTGTGCACATGCAATGTGGCTCCCGCGGAGCTCGGGCTCTGTCCGTAGCGCCCACACACACAGCGCCCCAGACTCCCTAGGCCGCCCGGGCTCGCGTTGGAACGGGACTCGGGCGCCGCGCAGCTCCCTTCCAGGACGCTCAAACTTGGGCAAACGTCGCCTTCCACTCCGGTGACGTCACGGACGCCGCAGCAGGTGGCCAGGGCGCCCAGCGCTTCCCATGCCCAGGCTGAGCTCCCAGCACGGCGCCCGGCCCCGGCCAGGGGAGGCGGGAGCGGCCCTGGAGGGTCACGTGTCCCAACCCTGAGCGATCGCAGAGCCCCAGCTGCTCACACCGAGCCCGGGCCACACCCCCGCCCCCGCCCGCCGCTCCACGCCCAGACAGCGAGGACCCTGGAGAGGGCTGCGGTGCGGTCTGTCCGTGGACCGAGTGCCCGCCAGGAAGTGATCCTTACGCACTGCAATCATGCACTCTTAAAAATCAAAATTAAAAGATAAAATCACAACTATCCCCAAGACTTACTTTTTAAAAAGTAAAATAGCTCATTATTAATTTTATTATTAAAGGCGATTAAATTATATTTAAGATATAGTAGGTTAACTGTAATATAATATGACAGTTAATTTTACCTGTTCCTCTGTAGAGGTTTATTAATGTGGCT